TTCCAAACAGAGTTCGGCTCTGAGGCCTCGGCAAGTAGCGTCCACCTGCGGCTCGAGCCGAGCCGAGCGCATGCGAAATGGCGAGCAAGGCGCAGCTGCACACATTGTGGTGGTGAAAACCGTTTGGGGATCCCATTTTGGGGGATAGGTGAATTCACCCCCCATTTTCGAACCTATTTGAGTGGTTGGATTTGGATGTTCACTGGGGGTACGATTTGGAGTTTGACCCATGCCCACATTTCCACCACTCTCAAGGCTTTGGAGGCCACACAAAAGCGGAAAGAGGCTGCTCGAACTCTGCATTTGCGTCCTTCATTTGAGGAATGATAAGGTTCATTGTGAAAACAACCGTAGCTATAACAGCAACACAGTCACCAGTCTTCGAACTAAGCAACTTGTAGATTTCTTGTTGGGGTCTAAGCAAAGGACATCTGCTATGCTTGGAAAGATCAACATGACTTCGCAGCCACATTCTGCCAGGCCGCGCATGCCCGGCAGCCTGGCAGCCGCGCGCCACGGAGCGTGTAATGGATATGCACTTTTTGAGTTGGTACACCGTGCACCTTGTTGGGACTGGTTGAAAGGGACGGACGGAAACCGAAAGCGGCACCGAGATTTGTTGGGTCCAGACGTTGGGCGCATATCCATTTCGACATGTAGCATGCTGTTGCCTGGATGAACCTTCGACGAGACAACTGGCCTCATTATTTTACCATGATCAAAGTCACGCCCCATTTTCTGATTTTGATCATTTCTGGAAATTGTCAAAATAATGACCCCTGGAAAAGCTGTCCCAAAATCAAAACGCCGCCCAGGCGAGCATCGCCTTTCAGAGCTTCTGGCCGGCTCCGGGACAGGAATGCCGCACATGGCCGTGGGTCAAATTCAATGGTACCATTTTGGGGTAGGTGCACCACCTATTTTAGTGGGGATTGGGATGTTCACTGGGGGTACGGGATTTTGACCCGTGGCTTCATGTCCGCAAACAATACCAATCATTTATCAAGCACCTTGTCTAATTGCATGGAACTCGCCAAAGGGTCCACTATAGAAGAAATCATGGTCTTCCAGGGCCAGCCAGGTTCTACTGGATGGGAGGGCAAAAATTGAACCGCCAAAGTCGTATGTCAGGCAATGTGTTGCCTTAAGCGCCGCGCATTAAGCCAGGGCCTCACCTCCCTTCCCGCGCCCAGGCAAAACCAACAACACGCCATATCAAATTGTCTGGCCTACTAAACACAAATACTAAATTCCGAAAACAAAAAAACAACAAGTTCGACGTTAACCTGGAATTTGAGAATGACTTGTGCAACAAAATATGCAGCTATGCAGGCCTAATGACTAAGGCGCCTTTTCTGTATACGTGGCAGCCTGATGGTTGTGTCAGCATCCTGCCTGGCTCTGAAGAGCCTGCTGGCACGCAGCATGGCTATAGCACTCAACCTATGCGCTGCTCAACTGCTTGCCTTGCACTGGATATCGCCTCAAAACATGGAGCTGCAAATCGCTGCGGCTGAAGCTGATGGACCGTTGCTTGCCATGGCAGTGCAGGCACGTTGTGACGAGCGGCACCCCAGCTGGAAGCCGCCGCTGGGACGCATGCGAATGCCGGAAAAGGCAAGTTTACATCGGCAACACCAAGTTGTCAAACTTGGCATCGCGAAAACACACCGGCAAAAGCACTGCCTTTTATGGATGCATGCAAAGTAGGGCCCCAAATGGGTGGTCTCTCATGAGGTGTCCCTACAAGGACCAAACAAAAGGGTCCATTTTTGAGAACCCCGCACACTCCTAAGCCAGCTGCGATCCATGAGGCCAATGGACAAAGAGGATTGCAATTCTTGCTCGTCTTGTCCACAGGTCTTGCAACCATAGGTGTCGTTTTTGGGGAAATGGATGGCCCTGGTAGTTGATTGAACCACCAGGTAAACCAGGGCCCTCTGTTTTTGAACCAAAACAACCAAAAAGGACACCTATGCTTGCAACACTGCGCGTGCCTTTTTTCACTTTTCGGGGCCATCAACGCCCTCCACACCATCCGATGTGAAACGTTGGCATCATGCTGAACAGCTAGGGTTGGAAACATGAGTGGCATGGCAAGAAGGTTTCTGACCGATGGCTACCAATTAATGGTGCTGCAAACAAATCCAAATGATGCACCGGTGGCATAAGTTGGTTAATCAATGGCCTATCACATGATCGAGATCCATATACCTACTGTCCATTCCTTGCAATCCTTGCTTGAATCCCTCCTTGCCATTGCCCATTCAATCATATCCAAGCCCTCTGCAGCCGCATCATTCTGCTTTGCTCTTGCCTTTTCGGCCTTTACCTGAGCACTTGGCAACGAGGCCATTGAAGCAAACGGTGGGAAAAGGAGGCATCGTGCTCATGGCAACACCTGCATATTGCAGCTGAAACCGTACGTGGGCATTTTTCTTAATAAACAGTGCACACACAAGCATCATGATCATGATGTGTATGTATATATATATATGTGCATTCCTATATGTATATGCAGATTAATGTATATATATATATATATCTCAGTGCGCACACACACACAAGCATCATAATCATGATCTCTATATATATAGCATATACATGTTACACATTCTCTGAGTGCCTGACCTCTGCTCTCATCGCCTTTGCCATCATCGCCCTTGCCGTCCCTCTTCCCTTTGCGCTTGCCCTCACCTTTGCCCTCATCTTCGCTTGCCTCATCCTTTCCTTTAGCTTTGCCTTTGCCGTCCTTCTCCTTGCCCTTTCCTTCCTTGCCTTCTTTGCCTTCCTTACCGCCTTTCTCCCGACTCTTGCCATCCTTGCCTTCTCCTCTCCAGTCACCCCTCCAGCTGTCACCCCTCCAGCTGTCACCCCTCCCACTCTTCCAGCTGTCACCCTTCCAGCTGTCACCCTTCCGGCTTTCATCCTTCCAGCTGTCACCCTTCCAACTCTCCTTGCCCTTGCCTTCGTCTCTTCTCCAGTTGTCCCTTTCCTTCCCATCCTTCCCATCTTTCCCATCCTTCCCATCCTTCCCATCCTTCCCATCCTTCCCTTCCTTCCCTTCCTTTCCTTTGCCGCCCTTCTCCTTGCCCTTGCCTTCTTTACCTTCTTTGCCATTTCCACCAATCTCCTTTCCAGAGCCCTTCCAGCCATTGCCCTTCCCATCCTGGCGTGCTTCCAAGTGGTTCTTGCTTCTTTCTAGAACAAAGCTGTGCCAACTGGGAGGTGTTTGCCAACTGGTTGTCCTCATTCTGTTCATTCCATATGGCTATGGGTCAAAACCCCGTACCCCCGGTGAACATCCCAGTCCCCACCAAAATAGACTAAAATGGGTGGTGCACCTACCCCAAAATGGTACCATGGGTGTTGACCCACAGCATATCTGCATTGTTGCTCAAGCATTCAGAAGCTACACGTTTCTCAACTTCTTCCCAGCAAACATCTGCGTGTGTGGGAGGGAAAGCAACACGCAAAAACCTTCGTATAGTCCTTGCCCTCCTTTCCATCCTTACCTTTCCTTTGGTAGGAGTACCAGTCCTGCAGTGCACGGCATGCCACACACACAAACTCCTGGCAACCAAAAGCCTACGGAGATGGCTTCCTCCCTCTCTCTCGCTTTCTCTCTCTCTCTCTCTCTCTTTCTCTCTCTCTCCCTCTCTCCAGAAGGTCAAGGCTTTGATCAGAATGCCCCAGGCTTTCGTCCGGCCCTTGTGCCGTCTGCTATCATGTTAAGTTGTTCCGCAAGCAAAAGGCAACAAAAAGCCTCACGACCGTCTCTCTCCTCCTCTTGGCTTGCCTGAGCCGCGCAAGCAACAAGCTCCCAAGTCCGCGTTTCCAAACAGGAGTCTGCAGGTGCTACTAGAAGTACTGCTTCTGCAAACAGCAAAACAATACCAACTGGAATCCTTACATCCATTGGTTCAATACACCCTGTAGAAGCGCCCAATTGCTGTGTTTGATGTGCCGCCGCTTTTGCTGCTGCAACGTCTGTTATGAAGGTCAACATACTACTTGATTTCAACTTGGCTGTGTTTGTTCTAACCTTATCATGTTGTCGCCAGCCTAGGCTGTGACGTGGACCTTGTCAGCATCGAACTTTCTGTCCCTCTTGCAGTTTACAGGTGCCAGTGCGATCCTCGGGCTGTCAGAAATGTTTGCCTAGGAACTTCTCCTGACACTTGACTAAAGAGGCAGAGGCAGTTGACATGCTTGAAATCCAGGCACCGGCGCAAGGCGTGTCCCTCAAGCAACCTCCATAACTGCAAAACTGGCTGAGTCAGCGCGGACCCACGTCAAAAGCCATCGCGCACGGTGCAGCCTTGCCATTGCACATCAAAAGCCACCCACCATAGCAGGCATCAGGCAAATCTGGACTGCATTGCATTGGCTTTTCCCCCAAAGCGCAACCTCTGCTGCAGATTGTCAGCCAAAAGGCGCCAATGTCAGCAAGCGAGTGGGAGGTTGTGGAAATTGGGGATGTTTTTTGGGATTCCCTGCAAGAGGCAGGATTGAAAAGGGGGCCTTATGGTCCCCTTTGACCCTACGCACGTCAAATTGTAATGCTTCACACTCAAGCCACAAGCCGGCCCGCTGATCCACTTGCCAAGTTGTGAAAGGCATTTAGGCACAGCTGAAAGAAATTCATGTCAGAATTGGGGGCACATACTTTTCTGACAGGGTTCCAACTCAGATTCCTCGCCAAATGGATGTCTGCACCCCAACTGGGTGCTGTTTTTGTTGAGCCCATCCGGGTAGGCGATGGAACCATTTGGTTTCCCTTCAAAGGGTCCATTTGGTTTGCTAAAAACCAAACAGTGCCGTTGCGGAAAAAAACGAACAAACACAACACAAACTTCAGCCTGGAATGACACTAACGTCTGGAAAAACACTGTTTACTGTCGCTATTAACACTAGTCCCCGGTTTTGAGACGCCGAGTGAACTCTCTTAGTTTGAGCCCAGTTGAGTGCATTCCCCGAGTGGACGCTCGGGTCTCCAGGCTTCGTCACCTGCCGCAAGCAGCGCGGGTGATAGATGGCTCCCCGGCCGGGAACCCGCTTCATGGTCAGTTTCCGTTGAAACAAGTACCCTCCCACCAATCCACATGAAATCTGACAGGGAAATGGCCCTGTAAAAGGAAAATTGTCTTCCAGGACCGCCCCGTCAGGTTCCATGTCATTGGTGGAAGGGCAACCAACCTAAAGGAAAGACACACGAAAGTACCCTGAAAACGAAACATCCAACTGCAAGGAATGGGGGACAGTGCCCCGGCAGGTCGGGTTAGCTTGAAGTTAGATCGGATTCCTCAAAAAAGGGCAAATCCAAATGCACCGAATGGGTTCAAGTTGCCGCTAGCACTTTTATGCCAAAAAGCACGGGCTACACAACTTCATACTGAGAACATTGATGGACATTGTCCATCAAAGTTGCCCCCAGCTTGCTCAAAAACCCCCCATTATCCACGATGTGTGATACACTGAGGAGCAAGCGGAACATGCAGCGAGGTCTTCTGGCAAACACTGAAGAGCACTGAATAAGCTCAAGCTTGTTGCAGGTCTTCATGCAAAGCACATGACACAGGCGTCAGGACAGCTGACACATGGCTGTGGGTCAACACCAATGGTACCATTTTGGGGTAGGTGCACCACCCATTTTTGTCTATTTGGTGGTTGATCTAAATTCCTTTGTCTCGAAACGGCCATTCTTCGCGAATATAAAAGTTACTTTCGCGAATCTTTCGCGGATTCATCGCCGTGCTCTTTTCATTTCTCGAGTCGGAGAATCGCAGCTTTTAAGTGCCAGCGTTGTAAGCGAAATGACGATTTCCCAACTCCAGCTGTAAAGTCGCAACTTTTCATCACAGGGGTAGTACATGACATGCGCCGGCTGCAAAGTCGCAGCTTTTCGTTCGCCGTGCAGCTCCAGCTTGAAGTCGCAGATTTCCAGTACCAAGCTAGTATACTGACTAGATCGGCGCTCAGACTATACCTCCCCTTGCAATCGAAGCCTGCGCTTTCGCGCGGGCTTTCGCGGATCTTTCGCGGAACTTTCGCGAAAAATCACCCACGTTTCAGAGCGGAAAGCCACCGACTAACACACAGACACACATACACAGGCTTGGAGCACTAACCAGCCAAGCAGGGTATCAAACTGTAGCCTCACCAGGCTAAATCAGCGCAACATCAACAAAGTGTTTTAATCAGAATAGAAGGAAGGCTCAGCAGAAAAGATGAACGGTTCCACATATCATTGATTAACCAAATACAGTTGCGCAAAACTTTCGCGAGAAAAAAAGTTACTTTCGCAACTCCATCGCGAATCTTTCGCGGAGCTACCTCAACCAACACCGATGGTCACCGAATACTAAACTCCTTACAAGGACCTTTAGAACGACTCCCATTTGTGTGGGGATTGGGATGTTCACTGGGGGTACGATTTGGGTTTTGACCCATGGCCACATCTTGACAATGCCATCCCCGCCTTTGGATCCTTTGAAGCCTTTGCCATCCTTCCCCTCCTTCCCTTCCTTACCCTTTTCATCCTTGCCCTTGCCTTTCTCACCATCCTTCCTGGGCCAGAAATGCCGGGAAGCGGCTGTGGCAACCCCAAGGAAACGCAACCGAAACAGGCGGCGAAACAGGAACAAGCCTTGGGTAGACTCGTTTTAGCATAACGCGAGTCTTCAAAGAACAAATCTCCCTTCCCAAAACGAAACCATGCCCAATCCGCCGCCTCTTTGCCTGTGCCATCATAATCATATAGTTTTTGAACTGGCTCTGAAAGTGAGGCATCCCCTCTATGGTTGGTACACAGAAATCCCCATGCAAATGATATCCCCCAAAGTGTCCCTAGTTACAAGTGTCACCCAACTGCTTGTCCATGCAAATTGCGCTCATGCGAGCATGTCTGACAGACCACGCAGCCCACGCGTCTGGCACAGGCAATAGTTCTTATCACGAGGTCGGCTACTGCAGCTACCGAACAAACTTGACTGGGCTAGAGCTCATGCCCATGACATGTACCAATGGAAACGAAAAGCTAAACCTGCGTAACCCTAGGTCTTTAATTTTGAGCCACACTGTCATGCCCATGATGACCGTCAATGAGTCGCAGCTCTGAATCGTCAACCTCAAGCTGCCAGCTGGGAGCAACCTTGTCCCAACTCGCAATCGCTACATGCAGCCTGCTTTCGGTCTTGGGGTCTAGTATGCACGATGAAACAAACAACCACTCGCGCAGGCCATGGTCATGGCTCTTTCTGAACGAATTATTGTTAAGGTTCCTCAACCCCTGTTGAATGATCTATGATCCTGCTAGTACCCCCGAGCAAGTCCGGCTTTTGAGCATTGCGCATATGGCTTCTGTTCTTTGTAGCTGGTGTCAAAGTCTGGCCCACCCATCTGTTGCGCTGGCTGACATTGCAACTGATGCTGACATTGCAACTGATACTGACGGGTCCTGGCGTACAGCAACTTAAACCGCAGAACATGTTGTGTCAACTGGGAGCCACAGGCGTCGTGCAGTTCAACTTTGTTTGGGGTGACCCATCCTTCCCATCCCACGCGCAGGCCGGCCTGGGCTTCTCATCACCTTTGGAGCCTTCCGAGAAGCTGTGAATGCCGACTGCGTACTCGTTTGCTCTGCTCTGTGCTGTGGACGGAGGGAAATCCATTTCGCACCACTTTGAAGCCAGGGCAAACCCGTGTTTGTTGGTATTTACAGGGAAATCGCATCATTCCAGGGTTTCTGAACTGTGGTGCAGGAACTTGTCCATCCGCAATATGAAAAGCACCGCGCCTTTCTTGCCCTTGCCTTTGGCAACACCTGGGCGGAGGTTCCATAATGTTGGCCCTGAAACTACTCAAACGCTCGGCCACCAGCCACATAACATGATTCCAGCTACAGTTGCCAAGGCCTAGGTCTTGCGATTCTATTCGCAATCATCCAAGCTCTGTTATCTTTGTTTTCTATCAACCCGTTTGCGCCGTTCGCCTGGCAATTGTCTTTGGAAAGATAGGCAAATGGATCGATTCTTAGATCAATCGCGGCAGAGGACAGCCAGGACAGCCGCAAGAGATACAAATCGGGTTGCTCTCTGCTCCCCTGCTAAAAGTGACTAACCTTTTGTGGTTTAATACGGAACACCCATTAGTTAGTTGGATCAAAAAGTGAAAACGTCCTAACATCCAAGCAGCAAAATGCAGCAAAGCCGAGGCTCATAACCCCCGTCCAAGGAAGCTCCCGGAAGAAGCACCCGGACCCCAAGGAAGATTGTGATCCCACTTTGTCCACCGCTTAAGTATTGGCTTGTGGCTTTCTGGAGCTTGGGAAAAGACTGGAACTGACGCGTGACTCGACCGCCCTTGAGACATGCCCGTTCCCCCCCCCCCCCGTTGTTGACGTGTTGTGAGGAGCCTGTAGCCACAAGAACCCTCTCTGTCTTGTTTTGATTTGTTGTTCTCAAGTCCTTGTCTTTGTGACATGGACAACCATGCGGAACTACAGTGACTAAAGGAATGTTGAACAGGCACGTGCCCCCCAATCCTCATTCCTATTTAATCTGAAGAACTGGGTGTGATAGATAGTTAGGAAAAAAAATGAAACAATCTAGGTACACATATATGGGTGGATGGATGGATGGATGGATGGATGGATGGATGGATGGATGGATGGATGGATGGATGGATGGATGGGTGGATGGCTGGCTGGCTGGCTGGCTGGATGGATGCATGGCTGGCTGGCTGGATGGATGGATGGATGGATGGCTGGCTGGCTGGCTGGCTGGGTAAATGGATAGATGGATGGATGGATGAATGGATGGATGGCTGGCTGGCTGGGTAAATGGATAGATGGATGGATGGATGGATGGATGGATGGATGGATGGATGGATGGCTGGCTGGCTGGCTGGGATAATGGATAGATGGATGGATGGATGCATGGACAAACAAATAAATAAATAGAAAGATGGACGGATCGACGGATGGACGGATCAACGGACGGATGGATAGATGAATGGATTGATGTCCATATACATGTATATATATATAGAGATCGATTGGTGGACTAATATATTGATCGATTTGATTGAATGACCGATTGATAGATTGATGGATTGATATATTTTAAATTGGTTAATGGATTGATATTGAATGACAGCTGGATAGACGGCCAGCTGTAAGGTAGGCAGGTAGGTAGGGAGGGACGTAGGTACATACATAGACAGATCTATAGATAGAACGATAGGCTGCTAGACAGTTAGAACATTGTGATATAGGTGTACATACTCTGACAATTATACAAATAGAACTACGTTACACAATTATAGATAATATGAACAGTCCGCAAGGCCAGCCACAAGTGCACCCACGCAAACTCCCCCGAAGTCTGAGATTGAAACCGTCCAGCTGGTCGAAGGACATTTGGATGGCATTCTGCTCCTGGATGTGCGTTCTCCAAGTGAAGGACCCCCCAAAATGCCAAAATGGGTGGTCTTCCTTTGGTTTCCCGACAAAAAGCAACCAAATGGGAGTTTTCCCCCCCAAAAAAAAACATCACACACACACAAAAAGAACATCACACGCATGGAGGGTTGCTCTTTGGATACTCGGAAGGCCCGAGGGCTGGGTTTCGGATGGCCGACAAGCGAGACATGCAGAGGTCGGAAGCGAGTGCCCCAAAAGATGGCAATGCAGTTGAGTGCCCCACCAAGAGACTTGTGGCTCTAGATTTAAGGACTTGCTCTGCCGCAAGGAACAAACCACTGTTGCACATGACCATCCCGGGAGTGTCCTGCCAGCCACTCCAAGCAAACAATGATCAACTGATTTGGCCCAAGTCAATTCGGCTAATTCTCTTGCTCTCTCTTTCCAATGATGGAAGTCATGGAAGAGGACAATACCTTCCGCAAAAACAGTTCGAACACCCCCTTGTCAGCTTTCACTTGGTCTGGCCTTTCTCAACTAGGTCCTCCGGAAGAGAGGTTAGAATAAGGGTATTTT